GGCATTTGGCGATCACATCCATACCCACTGTGATCTGCGCGGCCAATGGGCAACAGTCGGCCACCAGATCCGTGGATACACTCTCGTAGTATTGGACGCCATTCGTGCGGTCGAACAGCACTCCAATGCCCTTCAGGCGGTCGCAGTCGTCGATCACTCCCTTCTCGTACAAACCCCTCTCCGTTTTGGCCAATACTCTGTGTCCGATCCATTCGCTTAAGTCGTTGTCGGAGTAGCTGTTGGACCCGTTTCTGGTGATCGCCAACTGGTTGGCCGACTTCGTGATGGCATTCAATTGGTTACTCGTATTCCGATTGTTATTATTGTTGTTATTGTCATAAGAAGAGTCACTCTTTTGGTGATTATTATTATTATTGTTATTATTATTATCGCTGTTATTGTCGTTATTATTGAAGTCATCGCCGAAATCGATGGCAAACTTCCGCTTTTTGGGCAATTTCTTGGGCTCCGATGCCATCGATGACACATTCAGTGACGTCTGGTTGGGATCAGTCATCGCGTGACTCGTGTCAAGCATTGCGCGACTGATGGACGACAGCAACGGTTTGGTCGCCGAAGAGTTGCCAACAATTGAATTGTTTTCAATCGACATCTAAGGGCAGAGACAATGAATGGCATTACTATAAGGCCAGGGATCAGCTCACGGATCGCTAAGACATACCATTTTTGACAGATGTGTGACCAACCATATGACTGGTGCGCAAAGTGACCACTAATTCACACATCAATTGCACGGCTAATCAAACGCAACACGAATTGCCAGACATTTTGCACCGAAAATCACAGTCTCTTAGCTCCAGCCAATCGTTTCGTAACAATAATAGTGTTATCGATATATGAATGTCAATAACTGTTCATAACATGAATGAGTGAATCAATGATTCAATACATAATAAACACGAATAAAAACATTTCAATTCACAACTCATTTACACAAATATAACAACAGTTTTGTGGTGTGTTTTGGTGTCACATAATGTTTGGTGCATTCAATTGGCGACACATTTGCTGAACACTACAGACAACGGGTGTTACGGCGTTAACAACAACACAGGCGTCGCGTAATTGCGGTCATAATTGTAGGCATCGTTTAAAACGCGATGAAATTTCATTGAGACTCACAATCACTATAACTATAATACATATCTGGAGTGCGAGAGACGACTGTATTTCCAAACATTGGATGCGATTTCACAGTCTATTCAATGATTCATTCATTTCATTCACTCTTTACATACACTCAGTGTTTGTGTAGTTTTCGCTGCAATGACTGCACTATTCATTGCGTTCACAGCGCTAACCAATGCATACGACTAGTGTTGACCACAACCACCGCTCCATCACTGCATACAACAACACTCACAACACTAGTACTACACTATATTTTACACTATTTTTTATACGCTTTCCATTCACTTATCGCCCAAAAACATAACGTGTGTTAGACTTGTAGGACTTGTTTCGCCACCAAATATGCCCAACCATTACAACCATTATTACGTTCACCGCATATAATACACGCTAACAAATGCTTACACTTACTCTCACTCACTCTCTCCCACTTATAGTTAACTTTGTTTTCTATAGTGTACTCAACATACTGTCCTCTCATACACTATACGCTAATTAATAACGCAAATTCATACAACTATTATGCAATTGCTATGAATGCATATAATGTGCATATTTTGAACGCAAAATTTATTTGTAAAAACTTTTATTTCATTAATGAATTACAAAACGATTAGAAATAAAGTGATAATAAAATGTTTGTAAACTTTGTATAGTATATGTCTTCTCATCATTGGTTACTAGCCTTTGGCTAGTAACCATTCAGAGATGAGCATCATTCACTCAAGTTGTTGAAAAATAGTTCATTACAAAATTAACAGGGAGGGAGGACGCATATAAAATTAATATTCATATTGCAGTGTGACAGACTGGTGTGCCGGTGTGTAGGTATCGATATATCGAATTGGGATATTGAAAGGAAACGACTTTATTTTATGATATTCTGGTAGATCTCAATGAGCTGACTCTAACTATACCAGAAAAATAGTTCTATG